GAAGATTGGAAATCTGCCTTAGTGATTCCAGTTTTTAAATCAGGTGACTCCACAGATCCCACCAACTACAGACCAATTTCTCTAACATGCATCTCCTGCAAACTGCTTGAGCATGTTTTGTATACCCACATTATAACTTACCTCAACCAAAACAACTTGCTTCTTGATAACCAACATGGATTCCGTCAACATCGCTCATGTCAAACTCAACTGTTCGAACTCGTCACAGATATTCACACTTCAATACACAATCAACTTTACATAGACGCCATCTTCATTGACTTTTCTAAAGCATTTGATCGCGTGCCTCACAATCGCCTCAAACTTAAAATCAGAAATTTACAACTTGATTACAACTGTACGCGATGGATTGAAGAATTCCTTAGTAATAGATTTCAGGTAATCAGTTTGCAAGATTGCTTTTCTACCCGTGCTGACGTCATCTCGGGAGTTCCCCAAGGCTCCGTCCTTGGCCCATTATTATTTTTGATATACATAAATGACATAGCCGTTAATCTCGCATCTCAAATACGCCTTTTCGCAGACGATTGCGTCATTTACAAACCCATAACCAGCAACAGTGACGTCATTTCTCTACAATTAGACCTAAATAGGCTAACAGAATGGTGCAACATATGGCAAATGGAAATCAATATTTCAAAGACTAAACACGTGCAATTCGCTTCAACTATTCGCCAGAACGCTAATCAATATAAAATACGTGGTGCTAACATTGGCTCAGTATCCTCGATTAAATACCTTGGTGTACTTTTTACGTCAAACTTAAACTGGAATGCGCACATTGAACACGTCACCTCCAAAGCATGCAAAAAACTAGGATACCTTAAACGACGCCTACATGTCGCAAACACTGATACGAGGCTTCGTGCGTATATCTCACTCATAAGGCCTTCTTTGGAATATGCCTCTATAATTTGGCACCCTCATCACGCTTACTTGTCCAATCTACTCGAATCAGTTCAAAATAAAGCAGCCCGATTTATCATGTCTTCATATTCTCACTACGTAAGTGTATCTGCCTTGAAGAAAAGGCTAAATCTTGTCAGTCTTGGCTCACGCAGAAAATTTGCACGTCTGGTGTTTTTTCATAATCTTCATCATGGAAACTCCACATTTGCTCGAGCTAACCTTCTGCCTGCTCCCAATGTATCTACTCGGCGAGACCATGTTCATAAAATAAAACCAATTTTTGCACGAACGAACTTGTATCAAAATTCGCCGCTAGTGTTATCAATTACAGAATGGAATTCCTTGCCCTCATCTCTAGTGTCGCTTACAGAATCAACTCTATTTCAAGCTGCTCTAACAGTGTTTTTCGATGGAAACCCTCCTTAGCCCAATATATTCGCATATCTTGTGAACTTGTCACTACTGTTGTATTTGCCTTGTGTATTTTTGTCCCAAAATTTCTCGTTACCACTTCGCATTGTGCTCTATTTTTATAATGTCACCTAAAGTATTTCATGGTTTTGGTGTGCATTTTTTACCATTATATGTACACACCTCGTTTTTGTAAACTCACTTGCATCCCCCCCTATGTAATGCCCTCTTTGGGCCCTTAGGGTATTTGTATAAATAAATAAATAAATAAATAACAATCGATGGAAAGTTTGGCTTGCCTGCTAACTCTTGTGATTCATCAAGGAACGTGCAGATTGGGAGGATAGAGCCATAAATCTCCCGATGAACCACGCTTATTTTACCACGAAAGAACAAAGATATATATATATCCTATGATCTCGAATTTCTCTGCCTTTTTTGTCGTATGCAGCACGCCTTCAAGCCACTTTTGCCACAGCCTTCTCGAAAAGCTGAATATTGAAAGGGCTATTAGTACTTACTGTCATTGGGCACAGCACATTTTGTTCCATGCATACTCGTATGTGCATACGCCGTATATTTATAGAAGGACTGCTGATCCTAGAATATTACTGTCAATTATTCAGAGTTGTGTATGAGGGTCCTGCAACCTTCTAAAAAAAACAAAAATGTACATCCTTTTTTTCTTGTCATCATTACGAAGCGCCTAAACCTCGAGGTTGCTGGTTCGCAGTATTTGTGGCTTCTGTTAAGTGATTAGATAGGCACTGCAAATGCTCATGTGAACTTTGCCATTGTTTGCTCCATGGATCGGTTGAATACACTGCTTTTATTAAAATAGTCGAGAGTTGGACAGGATGTCGTCTGTTCAGATAAAAAACAGCTCACTGACCAGTGTAAACACAAAACCAGTTGACATTTCCGGATTAAAATGGATACCATGTTCACATTGAAATGACGGCTAAGGAGCAGGTTCTTGAGTCGCACTGAGCGCATGACCAAAAGTTTGGGAGTTGACGCTGTTTAGCGTGCCATGTGATCTATTGATTGTGTTACTTGTCTGAATTATTAGTGTAGATTGAATCTCATCGTCAATAGTGAGGCTCGAACTCTAATCACTAATAATTCAGACAACAGCAAGGCTCAGTCTCAATGATGGAAACGCCAATCCCGAAATGTCAATATGTTTTTTTTTTTTTTGACATTGGCCAGCCTTTTACCAACGCTTTTACATTCAAATAGTGGCGCTCTCGTGCATCATGCATGAGTTAGCTTATACTGAATGATTTGTGTTTTTTTTTTTTTTTTGCTAATGGTTAACCTTCTCTGTTTTACTGCTCTAATCTTTAGACTTTACATGAAAAATCAAAGCCTTTTTTTACCATAGGCTGTTCTTAGTTTGGATTTTCAGGGTCCAGAAAAGTGTTCCAGAAAATCTTCCAAGTACTATTTTGTCCAAGGTGTCTACCTACCGGGAAAATAGGGAAATGTCAGGGATTTTGATCTGTCTGCAAAATCTCAGGGAAAACAGAGGGAATTTCGGCTTTTCTCAGGGAAAATCAGCTGAAACTTCATTGAGGGAACGAAAGTCGCTGTAATGCTGGCTCTAACTATGCACTTTGCGAACGAAGGCCGTCGGAGCGTTGCTAAAATTCGCTTTGGGTTGTTATCGTACGTCACAAATTGAGCACTCCATAAGGCGCATGCGCCGCCTTCGAATGACGGAAGGCTGTCGCGCTGCCAGCGGGTTCCCCTTCAAAGCACAAGCAACGAAAAAACAATTATTAAAGACAACGCGTCAGGAACCAAGTGGCGGTGCATCAACCTCCTTCCTACGTGGAAACAGCCACCGGCATTGCCTAGAATGACGGAAAAGGATCGAGAAAAAAGGAATGATGCCACGGCTTGCTGCGCCACCGTCGGCGTAAAGTACTGCTAAAAACTGGAGGCGTCCGTAGCCTTCGCTGTGCTGCTTGCAAGCGAAGGCCCCAGAATCATCTGGAATCTGGGCGTGAGGCTATAAAAGCCTGCAGCGGTGGAGAACATTCAGTCTCAGGGGGATGCTTTGCTTGCGTGCAGCGAAAGCTACGAATGCTTCCCATCTTCTCTGGAACATCTCGTCGACAGTGGTGTCGCAAGCCGCGGCGTCATTCCTTTTCTTTCAATCCTTCTCCGTCTTTCTATGCGATGCTGGCGGCTGTTGCCAGATGGTAAAGAGGCTGACACGTCACCGCTCGGTGTCTGACCCGTTGTCGTGCCGTTTCTAATGGTTGTTTTTTCGTTTTGTGCGCTTTGAAGGGGAACCCGCCGGCAGCATGACTGCTTTCTGCCATTCGAAGACCGCACTCGCACCTAATAGAGTGCTCGTTTTGTGACAATGACAGAGCTGCAAAGTGATGAACTGTCTCTTGTTTTTGTGTCTTCAATCTAAACTGACTGTTTTTTAAATACGGCAGTGATATCGCAGGCAACTTTTGTTTGAAAAAGTATGACGGTATTCAAGTATAGTTTCATCCAGGACTGGATGAATTCCGAACATTTCAAGTGTCCAGCTTGGACAAGGCCCATTGAGAAGAACGCGATTATGGCGTACTGTGTGCTGTGCAGAATGGGCGTACTGTGTGCTGTGCAGAAAACGGTTTTCACTTCGTAAAATAAGAGAGCCGTGACAAGCTACGCTGATAGTAAAAAGCATTGGCTTGTAAGTGGAGCCGGGACACGTTTCGTAGCATCATTTCTGGCGCCACCAGCAAGTGGAGGGTCGGTCGCCGGTGTAATGAAGACGGGATCTCGGGACCTGCGCAGCCTTCAGCTGCGACAACTACACCTACAGACTTCCAGCTCCAGATTTCCAGCTCCCAAGTACAGCAAAAGATTTGTTTCAGCGTGACAAAGAGGTCATTAATGCGGAAATAATTTGGTGCCTCAATGCTGTCATGATGCACTCATAATTACTTGCTCCTGCGGCATCAGCTTCTCTGTTTCTGCTGATGTTTTCGTCAGCTACAGCTCACAAAATGCTACTTGGCAAAGACAAAATAGGGTATAGCATTGTCCATGGTCTCGCACCTTTTTTAATGTGAGCCTTGTGTTAGAAGTGAGGAGAGCGTGCTACTTCGTCATAGCATTTGATGAATCGCTGAACAAGGTTGTACAGAAGGAGCATATGGACGTGTTAGTTCGCTTCTGGTCAGATGCAGAGGAATGTGTGAAAACTAGCTACCTGACAACATGCTTTCTCCGGCGCGCTAGAGCTGAAGAATTGGTGTCCGCATTTTAAAGTGCCACAGAAGAGCTTTCACGATCGAAAATCTTACAGATATCAGTGGACGGGCTATATGTCAGCATGAAGTTTCTATGCGAGATCAAGCAAGAGCAAGCAAGAGCTTTGTGAAGCGAATGACAGCCACCGAATCCTCGGCATTGGTAGCTGTGGCCTTCATGTTGTAAACGGCACATTCAAAACGGGACATGCCACAATAGGGTGGCAAAGTGTGGAATATCTGCGGGTTATGTAAAATTCGTTCAAATGTGTACCTTCTCGACTCGCTGAATATGCACGCATCACTGGGAGCGACATTTACCCGCTGAAGTTTTGCGCCGTCCGGTGGATTGAAAATGTTCATGTGCTTTCAAGGGCCCTTGAGAGCCATTAAAACATGAAGGTACTCATCGAGTCATGTCAAAATGAGAACAAGCGGCTGACCAGCGCCAATTACACAGTGGTCAAGAAAGCCATACGCGACCCTCTTCTGTGCACAAAGTTAACCTTCATGCTTAGTGTCGCGGAAGAACTGGAGCCGTTCCTGGTCCAGTTCCAGAGTGATACATCGATGCTTCCATTTCTCGGAATATCGCCGGAAACTCTTCTACGATTCCTAATGAGCAGCATTATAAAGAAAGAGATGAGGACAGGAAACAGTCCATTGAAGTCAATGAGGATAGATATGGACCAGCCTGTTAGCATTTTTTCGGCGCCCAAGATAGACCTAGGCTTCGCTACAACAGGGTTTGTAGTGGTCCTCGAAACCCTTAAAAACCCTTGAATTTTGAAATGGCATTTTCAAAACCTTGAAAACCTTAAATTTGTTTGAGGTCCTTAAAAATCCTTGAATTTCGTCAGTTGAAGTCATAATTTAGTGGATCTTTTTTTGCTTGCCTGGCAACTATGTGCTCTCAAGCCAACAAATCATCTAATCTAATCGGTTTCTCTAGCCATAGTGCAGTGTTCTAGTACAGTGTACTCTCCTAGTAGTACACTAGTTATGTTAGCACTTGCGTGGTTACAGTAGCAACGCAGCTAAGCCTGGCTTTTTGTGGAGATTGGAAGTGTGCACGAACATCCGCTAGTCGCGTGGCCTATAGTGGAACTATGCCGGGCAGCACAAATTTTAGCTGTCTTGGCCATGCATTTCTGTTTATAGGGAGTGGATTGCACTGGGTACGTTAAACCGTCATTAGGCAAGTCTTAACATGTAGGAAGAGCTTCGATGTGTCATCAATGGGGGATTCTGCTCTTAAAAGTCACATCAAGAGTACGAAACACATTGAAAACACAAAAGTGACTACAGTCTATGGTAACTTGAATGCGTTCATGGTTTCAACCATACAAATAAAATGTATGCTGCAAAAAGTGGTGTTCTCATTTTCTGCAGTTTCAAGTGTTATTTTAGGTCCTTGAAAGGTATTTGCTAGGTTCTTAAGAGTCCTTGAAAACCCTTGAATTTTGTTTCACTTAGTTGCTATGAACACTGTACAAAAAATGCGCTCAGAAAGGCCCTGAAACTTTGTGACTTGATTACCCTTCAGTTCAGAAGTGACTGGGCCTCATTTTTGAAGAACTGTACCAACGAAGTTGTGGAAAAGTCACCGCTGAAGTTCCAGCTGACGAGGGGGTCTTCATATTTAGATCCTGTATGCTAGCTAATTCCAGAGGTTGGAGAAAGGCATTTGACTGATGCCATTGAACTGTTAATGAAATACCAGTGGATGACTGGAACAGAGGCTGATCGGGCAATGTGGGTCGTTGAGCATGTACCGTATTTACTCGATTCTACCGCGCCCTCGATTGTAACGCGCACCCGATTTCCACCGCAAAAAAAAAAAAAAAAAAAACGTAAGACATCGATTGCAACGCGACCCATTTTTCTTGCTGGCCCGCACAATCACACCAATCGAAAAAACGACTCCTTTCGGGAGCGTCTTCCATTTAAATATGAGGTACGGGCGAAGCTTGTGCATTGCCGTCACTGTAGTTTTACCGTGGCGATGCCAGTACGCGAACTTGCTTCGCCCCCTTCTTCTCGACGGTTGTGGTGCCAGGCATGTCGAAGTAAAGAGGCGTCTGATCGGCATTCCCAATTTGCCCAAGCAGGTAGCCGTTGTTGCGCCGCAAGTTTAGGACGAACCTCTGAAAACTGAAGCTTTTCAGCGTACTCTTCCGCAAAACTTTTCGCACATGCATGTTCCCCTTCGGAGGGAAAAGCCTTTCCTCTTCATAAAGTAAGTTAGCCAGCACCTTCTCGCTTTAAACTGGCTCCGCATTAGGCCTTTTTCTAAGAGTAATTGCATAGCCCGCACTTGGAGCAGTTCTGTCGTCACGGGACCGCTGTGCCGCTCGCTGCTCAAGCACATACTAGCCGAGCAGCTCTTTAATTTGCGCAAAACGACCCTGCTGTGGTTCACTGAAGCCTTTGCGTGAAGTTTTGCTGTCGACAATCTTCTGCTTTTGTTTTCGCCGGTCCCGCACGCACGTTTCGGGAACTCCGAACAACCGCGATGCGGCCCGATTTCCGTCCGTTTCTGCACACGCGATGACTTTTCTTTTAAAAACGGCATCGTGGTGCACTCGAGTTTTTGGAGTCGGCCTTTCCACGCCGTCGATGCTAATGCACTACTAGATGACGAACTCCTCAGCACACGTACGAAGTGCCGCACATGGGAAACACATAGGCAGAAATGGCCGACGCGCCATGCCGACGCACGTAGGGGGCGGCCAGTTTGGATTTGCCGATGGCAATAGATTGACCGTAATTTTTTTGTTTGTGCTCGATTCTAAAGCGCATGCGATTTATGAACTCGCTTAACCGGTAAAAAGGTGCGCGTTAGATTCGAGTAATTACGGTATGTTCTTTGGCATCGATGCAAGCAGCGTTGAAAAGTTTTGATAGGAGCACGGATCGGCTGGATGCCCTTTGGGTGCAAATTTGTGGTTCAAACAAAGAACTGCTGAATTTTTCCAAAATGATCATCCTTTTGCGTGAAAGTGCATTTGTCGAGTGGGGATTTTCCATCGACAAAGATTGCCTGGTAGAAAAACAGAAGGAACAATCTCTGGTTAACCAATGAATTGTTTTTGACACCTTGTCATCAGCTGGAGGAGTTGCCTGTTTGCAACTGATCAAGAGGACGTTTCAATTGGTCCGCAGGGCGAACGCACCTTGGAAGGAAGAGTTGGAGATGACTAGAACAGATAGGGCTGATGTGCTACGAAAGAAGCATGCCGCCACTTTCTGAAGGACCTAGAGCTAAATAAACAAGGTTTTGGTGGGCGCCGAGAAGTTTTCCTCTTTTACAAACAGAAATCGACAGACGGTGACACAGTAATATCCAGCTGCTCAGACAGAATATCTTTCGTGCCAATGTTCGAATCTCAAGTTCATGAGGTCGCAATTATATGATGAAAGGTAAAAAAAAAAGGTTGCTCATGTTGCACCTGCTTTCTATCCTTATTTGAATATTGCTCTCATTTCAATGGGTGGTGTTCCTATTTTAAAAAACTTTTATTTGTTGTGCGTTTAATTTTTACTACCTTTCCTTTTGTTTTGTGTGAAATAGTTATTTGCTTACCATTTCAAGAGGTCTAAGTGATTTTTTTTTATATCTTAGAGGGCTTTTGCTGTACATGTAAAATGGTGGTTTTCTGTCCCATGAGGTCTGCCGCACAGGAACGTTTTCAACCCTTCGTTTGAAATTTCACGCCATAATCATGCATGCTCACTAGGCGGTGCTGATATCTTCTAGAACTTACAAGAGGCATTTGGAGTTGTGCCATCTTCTTGCGGAACTAAGCAGAACTGATTTCTAGCATCAACGCGTCGCACGGCTGGCGGTCACGCCGATGGGCAACGGCCTGTCGTGGTTTCGGTTAGATGTGTTAGGTGTGCGACACTTTGTTTTTATCTTTATCGGCACTCTTTTACAGGGGCGGCGAAGTCGATTTTCATCTTCATTGGGGCAGCTTTTAGCTTATCATCGACCCTCAAGAGCTATTCTCCCTCTCCTTGATTATTGAGGTTACTCTGCCCAAGGCAGCCGCATGGAGAGGTGCTTCGTGTGTGCCAACCCAACTCCTTGCTCCAAGAGAATAGACACATTTGTTTTGTGCAGACTGCAATAAGGTGCTGTGCGTTGCCCCGTATTTCAAGGAATACCACGTTCAGGAATACTGTAGAAGGTATTCACATGACAAAGGGGTGCTGGCCCAGCAGTCACCGTAGTGTGGCCATGCTCGCTGGTCATTGTATGACAACCAAAGTGCTTGGCTGTGCGTCTGCGTCCCCGTCACTAATTATTGTGATATCTTTTTTCATCTCTTCATATGAAATCCGAAGATCATACAATGGATCGCTGAACAACCACGGCAATGTTGGCCACAGCCCTATGGTACAATTTGCAGTTACTAATGATGCTGACACAAAAATACTGGTCTTGATTTTTTATATAGATTTTTCTCAATTTAACACACTTCGTACATTCAAAAATTGCATTGAAGCAATTTGACCTATTGGAAAGCTTAGAAAAATCGACGCACAAAGTGTTGCACATGCTTACTAAGCAGTGACAGCATTGAGTGGCACGGCTCCTTTTTTTATTGATGTGGCAGAAGGGATTCTTGCAAAAATACTCGGGGAAGTTTTAATTGCTGACTTGGTAGACACCCTGTTGTCTTTTGCACCCATGATTACCAACTATTTTATTTCTTCATGGGAGCCAAATGTATGTTGGTCATTCCATATCAAGGGGGCTCGATGACTTTTCGGCCATCTGTAGTCATGCTGAATAAAATTGTGCTAGTATATATGAATGTGAGTGGTAGTTAATAAGGTGGGATTTTTTCGGAAATATGTTTCTGGCACAAAAGGATGCTTCAAACTTCGTGCATTGTAGCAAATCTGTGTCGGTAAACCAATGTATACAAAATTGCTTCGTTTAGTATTTATTGAGAAATAGCTTTTTTTTTTCCTTAGTCCTAGGAGGCTGGTTGTCTTTGACAATTGTAGTTTATTTATTTTATTCATGTGACTTTTTTGACAAAACATGGCAAAATGCTGTAGGCTTAACTGTATGTTTTTTCTTTTTTTGGAAAATCAAACTTTTTCCCGAGGAATATATTCATCGTGAGCTCTGGAAATTTGTATAATGAAGGATAAATATACTCTCGGTGTAATGAATCAGAAACAGTGTCACAAAATTGTAATGAAACTGGCAAAAATAGCATTTTGACTCATATATTGTGGCTTTATTTTCGCAGTTTAGCAATTTAAGTAAAAGTAAGGCTTTTACAGTGTTGCAAAGTGTGCTTTGTTGGTATTCTATACAGTGAGCTTAAGAGACATTTTTTTTAGGTAAAAACAAAGTACAAAGGACACGAGCGCTTTTTTGCAGCAACTAATGCAAATGCTTGTCATTTAAGTGATATTGCTGTATACAACATCAAAAAGTTTTGAAGTGATGGTTTTCCCTCTCTGTTGGACTGCAAAAGGACAGGCAATGTCTTAAGAAAAATATTTACACTTGACAATGTTAATGACTTGATAATC